TTTATAATAGTATTTTTCTTTGGTAAGTTCTGGACTGTTGTAAACTAGAAGGTGCAAACATGATAATTAATGCTGTCGGTAATACTGAGATATTTTTTCTTCTTGTGGAAATCATTCTTCCACTTTGCCAGCAAATTTGCTTTCTAGAAAGTTGCAATATGGTAATAGCATTTTTCTCCCAACGTTGTGTTATGAAAGTTCTGAAGCACATAGCAAACTGAGACAATTGGACAGGTGACAGCCGTGTACCTGCTGCTCAGAGGCCGCTGTTAATAATCTCCATCCACTGCTTTCTGACACATCAGTCCTTTGTTTTTATGCATTTCAGCTCATTGCTGACATCAGCATATTTCCCAAGATGGATTTTAAAGATGTCAGTCAAGTTGTTTCCACAAGAGAAACTAGATAAATGATTAAAAAATACTTCTTTTAGATGGAAAAGTATTTTCAAGTGTCCTCATTAACATTTAGTATTCTCAGTGGAAGGTCTTACTTGATATTCATTATTGATTAAATAAAAAGGCATATATATTTAACGAATCATTGCAGCGTAAAGTACTGTGTTTTGGTTTGTAAGGAAAGTTGATGGAATATGAGAAATGTACAGATAGTAAACTATACCTCTTTTTTGTAGAGTTTTGCTTATGAATGACTGGTAAGTTTCATCAGTGGGACCCAGTCAAAAGAATGCCCAAAATGAATTTTTTCTTTCCTCTCCTCTTCACCACCACCTTCTTTCCTTCCTCTTTTTCTTTTCTTTTTTTTTTTTTGGTCTGTTGTGGGGCTTGAACTCTGGGCCTGGGTGCTGTTCCTCAGCTCTTCAGCTCAAGGCAGCACTCTACCACTCAAGCCACAGCGTCACTTCCGGCTTTTTTCTTTTTACTTATGTGGTGCTGAGGAATCGAACCCAGGGCCTCCGGCTTGCAAGGCAAGCACTCTACCACTGAGCCACCTTCCCAGCCCCTTCCTCTCTTTCTTATCTGTAGTAATACTTAGATTTAAGGTCTACATTTTATTGCATTTATCTGCTGAGGAGAAAAACTGAAGAGGCCAGAGAAGGGAAGGGTAAAGAGAAAATTGACATGTAAATGATGGTGATTTCTTTATTTTTTCTTTTTAATTTTTCAGTCAAGTGCCAGGTGGTATAGTTTAGGCTGTCCAGGCTACCCAGTATGTTAAAACCGCGGTTGCAGTGTGAAAACAGCTATGTCATGTCTCAATAAACATAGACAGGGGCTGTGAATATGACTTAATGGTAGAGTACTTGCCTAACATGAATGAAGCCCTGGGTTGGATTCCTCAGTACCTCATAAACAGAAAAAGTCAGAAATGGCTCTGTGGCTCATGTGGTAGAGTGGTAGCTTTGAGCAAAAGAAGCTCACAGCCAGTGCCCAGTCCCTGAGTTCAAGCCCCAGGACTGGCGCCCCCCCCCCCAAAAAAAATTTATAGACATGAACATTGATTTCATATATCTATCTATTGATCTACGTATATATAAATACTCTTGTCACTTTTTCATCCATTTAAGAATGTAAAATATTGTACGTTTGTGAGCTATTAAATTAAAAAACAGGTGGTGGGCACAGGAACTGTGCTTTGGTGAGTCATCTGTACAGACTTTGACCTTAAACAGGCATTTTCTTAAAAGAGTCACTGCTGTGCAGCCTTTCAACTGAAATTTAAATGCCTTAAATTAGATGCGCTGAGATAATTCGGGGTGTCATTGTAGTGAGGCAAAAGTAATGCTCACCGTGGTTTATTCTACCAGTGTAGTGAAGCCTCTGGTAGCACCACCCGTTAGTCATTTCTTAGTGAAGGTGCTGTTTGTCGCCGGGGGGTCAGAGGAGCATAATAATCTGAGGTAGTTATTCCTTCCACAGTATCCCTGTGCTAGTATTTAAAGTTCAAGTTTTGAAGTCTGGCCTAGATTAGATTGAATGCTTTTCATTAAATATGTGACTTGTTAGTTAATATTTCTGAGTATCAGCGGGATGAGAGTTAATATAGCCATCTCACAGCAGCTAACACTTAAATCGGCCAGGCAAGCTTCTGAGCACTTTATATTTAGTAATACATTTGATTCTCACAACCACAAGTGTATATTTTCATATGTATATTGCCATCTAATGATGAGGAAACCAAGACACAAAAAGGTTTCTCGTTGAAGGTCATGTAATAAGTTACAGAACTAGCAGATGAACTTGGGCAGTGTGGCCTGAGAGTAGAGTTCTTTTAAGATATACTGCCTTCTAGAATGGGACTGCTTACCACACGTTGGTCTTCAGAAATTAGATACAGGGCTGGGAAGGTGGCTCAGTGGTAGAGCGCTTGTCTTGCATTCATGAGGCCCTGGGTTCAATTCCTCAGCACCACATAAGAAAAAAGAAAAAAGCCGGGAAGTGGCGCTGTGGCTCAAGTGGTAGAGCGCTAGCCTTGAGCTGAAGAGCTGAGGTACAGCACCCAGGCCCAGAGTTCAGGCCCCACAACCGGACCCCAAAAAAACAAAAATTAGATACATTAACTTAATAGAATACAGAACATTATTTCCTCAGGGAAGTCCTGTGTGGTACCAGACAACATGCATATGTATGAGATTCAACTGCAGTTTTGTGCTCTTATCATTTATGCACTATTGGGTTTCTTTTTTCTCTTAAAACTTCTGAGGACTACTAGGGTTAAGTACAGCCTGGTATAGGGGCTCCTACCCCAAATCCCTACTGCTCAGGAGGTGGAGTTTGGTAGGATTGTAACTCAACACCAACCCAGGAAAAATAGTTATGGAGAGGCAAATAACTACAGTTCCAACTCTACCAATAAACTGAGTTGGGTGTTTGAGGCTTATAACCCCAGCTACTAGAAGGCGTGCGAAGGAGGATTGTGTTCCAAGGCTCACCCTAGACAAACAGGCAAGACCTTATCCAAAAACAAAGCCAAAAAGGCTGGAGGTATGGTTCATTTTAGGGCACCTGCTAGCAAGCTAAGGCCCTGAGTTCAAACCCTGGTAACTCCTCTTTCTCCAGAGTTTTTTTGAATTTTCTAAATTACTGTCTGTGAAAACAATATGTCAATGACTTAACATATGAACAAGTTGGGATATTCCCCAAATGTTCCTAGTTGGTTTTTTTTTTTTCCTTTGTGTGATATTGTTATAAGAGTTGGCTACAGGGTTTGGTAAGACATGCCTGTAATCCCTAGCACTGGGGGTGGGGAGGGGATGGGGGGGTTGGGTTCTGAGGCAGAAGCACAAGTTCAAAGCCAGTTTCTGCTACATAAGTGAGGTCTTGCTTCTAAAAAGATTTAACTCCTTCCTTCACTTCTGTCTTCCTACTGACTATCCACTGAAGATAATCCTTAAGTCCTGGAATTCAGAGAAATTAACCAATGTCAAGTTCCTGGCAATGTGTTGAGTTTCTTACCAGCCGGTCAACAAATGGCGGTGAATGGGAAGGACTTCCTAAAAGTGGGAAAGTTGATGGAGAGAGTTAATTGTGGTTGCTCAGAGTACTCTGGAGCTGACACTTAGTGTAGATCCACTGACTTGTTGGTCTTGTTCTGTTTTCATTATTCAGTAAATTCAGAAGTAAATCTTAAGTAATCTTTTAAGTAAACCCCCTGTTGTTGGATACAGACTCTTCCCAGATTACATAGAAATATTTTCATAAAATTGTCTGTTTTCCTCAAGTGAGATTTCTCACTCATGATATGTACTTATATTTTAAGATTAACTTTGTTCCAAAAAAGAAAAAAGCTATATTACTACAGAAGTTGCACAATAGTTTATGAGAGCTTAGCATAAATCTCCTTTAGTGAAGAATGACAATACATCCTTTAAAGTTTCTGTATATTTCTTTTTTAGGTGCCATTTTTACATTTTGCATGTATTTATATCAGGAACAAATTTTCTACCCAAGTGATTTTTTTATAGCTACTTATAAGTAAAATACCCCAGTCACATTTGTACAATTTTTGAGTGAGTTTTGTGGTTCTTTTTTTGCTGTCTGCATGCCATGAGTTGTAAATTATCATACAATGTTTTGCACCTGTAAGTACCAGAATGAACTGAATGTGTTTGAATTGCCACTCTTTGTAAGCTACTTTGCTGGTTTAAGAGTCCTACATTTCAGATAAAATTAGACTTACTGGTGTTCCTTACTTACCTGTTCACTTTCTGGAGCATCTCAGAAATAACAGGCTGTAAATTCCAGTGGAGATAGTTCGTGTAGTCTGGTATTCTTGGATATTGCCCTGGGACAGCTGTGATAAGACATTAATCTACATTAATCTATAGTTTACAATGTAAGGGGATGTTAGATTTTGCATTAATGGGGTTTGAAATCTTTTAGTAGTCCTGCCATTTAGATTTACCAAGGAGGTTTAGAAGCAAGTTTTATACATTTTGGATTATAATATCAACTTTAGATAATTTATTTGTAGGGTTACTTGTAAATTTCTCATGGTTGGTAATTGGAAAAATGTCTTTATTTTAAATGGAAACTATTAATTGCAAATCAAGTGTTTACAACTCTTGAGTTGCAGGGGTTTTGCTTAAATAGCAGGAATACTGGGTGTACCCCAATGGTGAAGCACTTATGTAGGTAGCATGCACAAGGCTATGAAAGGGGCAGAGGAGAAAACTTAGATTTCATCAGTAAAGTGATAAAATAACAATCTTGGAGTTGTAAATACCCATTTTCCAGCTGTTGCGTTATCCAGTTTAAGCACATACACCACCAAAAAAGTGTCTTCCCATTTTTAACCAAAGCATAATGTACAAAACAGCACCTTTGACAAGCATTGGTGTTTTAGTCTTGGTTTCCTAGAAAATACTGATTGTTCCATTACTCAAAGATTGTGAGTAGTGGATTTCATTTTTTTTCACATCTCATCTTAATATTGTAAATTTGTTACTTTAGTGCTTGACTAACGTTTGCCTTGATCTGCTGTGCTTTGTTTCTGAGCTGTACTAGTGACTGTGCTTCTTGTTTGAATGTTTGGTACAGGAAGCGAGCAGCTGCAAAGCATCTAATAGAACGCTACTACCACCAGTTAACTGAGGGCTGTGGAAATGAGGCCTGCACGAATGAGTTTTGTGCTTCTTGTCCAACTTTTCTTCGTATGGATAACAATGCAGCAGCTATTAAAGCCCTGGAGCTTTATAAGATTAATGCAAAACTCTGTGATCCTCATCCCTCCAAGAAAGGAGCAAGCTCGGCTTACCTTGAGAACTCAAAAGGTGCCCCTAACAACTCAGAGATAAAAATGAACAAGAAGGAAGGAAAACCTAGGATTGATTTTAAAGGTAAGATATTTTTAAATATCTTAAAGGTAACATATTTTTAATTGCGCATGCTTGTTTGGAAGCCATATGAGAGATGTAAATGTGAGGGTCTGTTCTGTCTTATACTGTGTGACCTTAATGCATCGCAGTATAGTGAGACTGAATAGGACAGAAATACTTTGAACTCTTGTCTTAACTACATTTTATACATCTAGTAGTTGCCGATCAGAAGCAGCTTATACTTCAAGAGTTTATTTGTTAATAAACTAATTGCAACTTCAAAATATTTTTCACTAGAAAAATGGATTAAGATGCATTTAAGTTTTTTAGACAAGCTCACAAAATCTAGTTAAGTTATAGAATAGCTGGAATAAATATCTGGCATGAGCTCTGGATCCCCAGGACTTTATGCTGAAAAAAACCTCAGAAAAACAAGATAATCCATAGAGGGGTCTGTAAGTCTGGGAATGTTGCTGTCTGTCAGGTAGACTATTACTGCACCTAAATCAGGTCATCACCTTACCATTTGCTGACTAAGAGACAAAAATGTTATATATCCAAAAGCTTATTCATTTTATTTTTATTTTTTGGGTTTTTGAGGTACGTTCTCCTTGTATAGCCCCGAGGATTCACTATGAAGCTCAGGTTGACCTCAAACTTCTGACCCTTCTGTCTCAGTCTCCTGAATACCACCATGTCTAGTTTGGGCTATTTTTTTATAGGAGATACTTATAATAGATGTTTTGTCATTAGAAAATGAGAAATAGCCCTCTCACTTTTCAAGAAGGGTGTTTAGTAAAAGATACCTAAACCAGGATGATGACTCACAGCTGACTCCAGCGCTTCGGAGTTTGAGGTAGGAGTGGGATGTTCAAGGCAGCCTGTGCTACACAGCAAGACTGTGTCTCTAAAAACGATTTAAAAAAGTAAAGGATATCTATATTTTATAATCTTTCACACTTGAGAATTAAATAATTTGAGCCCTTAGAAGAAATTACAGTTAAGGGCCCTCATGGAGGAGGACCACAAATAGGATTTGTAGTGTTGATGGCATTTTTGCAGTTTAATTTTTTGGAGCCATTTCTTCAGTACTCCCTTGCCATTTTATATTGTCCTTTATAATAGAGCAAGTAGTCATTAAAACTTTCAACATGCCTTTTTACAGTGTTTGTATGTAAGGAAGTATTTAGTACAACCAGGGTAGGATTGAATTAGAAATTATCCTTTGCCTTAGCTATTTAATAATAATCGGTCATTCCCTTGATGAAAATGATGGATCAGCTACTCTTATCTCTACATTATTTGACCAGTATATTTAATCTTAGAATTTTGGTTTGGCTGTACTAGAGTTTGAGCCCAGCGGTTTGTACTTGGTATGTTTGCATCCTACCACTTGATCCATACCCCCAAGTCCTTTTGCTTTTGTTTCTCCTGAGTAGCTGGTATCACAGACTTAAAGGCTATGCAAGGTATATTGGTTACGATATCTTGCCAACTTATTGCCAATTATATATTATGTTTCATTAGAAAAATATGTAATACATTATAGTTAAAATCCATATCCAAATTATATATTAGTATGTTACATTAATGGTAATCATAAACCAATATATCATACCCTATTTCAACACAATAATCTATTTCACCCTTGCTTTGTAGAGAAGAAATACTATTGTTTTGAAAGGCTGTTAAACCTATTTTCTTCTCAGAGCCTAAGACCTGTCAGTTAATCCTAGCTATTCAGTATGCTGAGATCTGAGGATCATGATTCAAAATCAGCCTGGGCAAGAAAGTCCATGAGATACTTATCTCCAATTATCTTTAAAAAAAGAAGAAGAAGAAGAAGAAGTTAGAAATGGCTGTGGCTCAAGTGATAGAATGCTAGCCTTAAATAAAACAGCTCAGGGACAGTACGCAAGAGGCTATCTTTTGTGGGCCTGTAGCTGCACTGTGGTAGAGTGCTAGCCTTAAGCCATAGAGCTTAGGAACAGTGCCCATGCTTGAAGTTCAAGCCCCATGACTGATAAAAATAAAAAAGAGTTCTAATGTGATTATTGGCTATTTTATTTTATAATATTTAGCTATTTTGTTTTTCACTAGAACTTTAAAGTAAACATGCATGTATTACGAAAATGAATGGTCTTTCTCTTTTTTCTCTTTTGATTTTTTTTTTTAGATGTGAGTTTCTTAACTGAAGAGCTGGTATATGAAATTCTTGAATTATGTAGAGAAAGAGAGGATTATTCCCCTTTAATTCGTGTCATTGGAAGAGTTTTTTCTAGTGCTGAGGCATTGGTACAGAGTTTTCGGAAAATCAAACAACATACCAAGGAAGAACTAAAGTCTCTTCAAGGAAAGGATGAAGACAAAGATGAAGATGAAAAGGAAAAAGCTGCGTGTTCTGCTGCTGCCATGGAAGAAGATTCAGAAGCGTCTTCCTCCAGGATAGGTGATAGCTCACAGGGAGAAAACAATGTACAAAAATTAGGCTGTGAGGATGTGTCAGTAGATATTGATTCAATTAGAAGGGTCTACACAAGATTGCTCTCTAATGAAAAAATAGAAACTGCCTTTCTCAATGCACTTGTATATTTGTCACCTAATGTGGAATGTGATTTGACATATCATAACGTGTACTCCCGAGATCCTAATTACCTGAATCTGTTCATTATCGTAATGGAGAATAGAAATCTCCACAGTCCTGAGTACCTGGAAATGGCCTTGCCGTTATTTTGCAAAGCTATGAGCAAGTTACCTCTTGCAGCGCAAGGCAAACTGATTAGACTGTGGTCAAAATACAGTGCAGACCAGATTCGGAGAATGATGGAAACGTTTCAGCAACTCATTACTTATAAAGTCATAAGCAATGAATTTAACAGCCGAAATCTAGTGAATGATGATGATGCCATTGTTGCTGCTTCAAAGTGCTTGAAAATGGTTTACTATGCAAATGTAGTGGGAGGGGAAGTGGACACAAACCATAATGAAGAAGATGATGAAGAGCCCATCCCTGAGTCCAGCGAATTGACACTTCAAGAGCTTTTGGGAGAGGAAAGAAGAAATAAGAAAGGTCCTCGAGTGGACCCACTAGAAACTGAACTTGGTGTTAAAACTCTGGATTGTCGGAAGCCACTTATCTCTTTTGAAGAGTTCATTAATGAACCACTGAATGATGTTCTAGAAATGGATAAAGATTACACTTTTTTCAAAGTAGAAACAGAGAACAAATTCTCTTTTATGACATGTCCCTTTATATTGAATGCTGTCACAAAAAACTTGGGACTATACTATGACAATAGAATTCGCATGTACAGTGAACGGAGAATCACCGTCCTCTACAGCCTAGTTCAAGGACAGCAGCTGAACCCGTATTTGAGACTCAAAGTCAGACGTGACCATATCATAGATGACGCGCTTGTCCGGGTAAGTTTGGGTGCTGTTTAACCTCAGTACTAAATTAAAAGGCTGATGGAGGTAATTGATTTACGCCTGCGAATTCATTTAATAAATGACATAGACGTAGGCACACAGTGGTTATTTCTACTGAATATTATACATTCTTTGTGTCTCACTCCAAAGTTTTGGTTATCTTTATCTGATGATGACCCTTATCTGATGATGACCCTATCTTGAGATTTTCTGAGTCTTGAAAATTAATTTTAAAAGTTTCTCCAGCAAAGAACAGCATGTTAGGAAAGTGGAAGCAAGGACAGTGTGGTAATACCTGGTATGAAGTGTGAGGGGAGGTAGTTACCAGAAGCAATACAGTAAAGCTCCTTGACAAAGATGCACGACATCCAGTACATTCTGTCGTGAAAAGCTTGAGCTAGAGGAAATAACAAGGACAGTGTGGTGCATGTTGTCAAGTAAGACTTGGAAGTCCTCTTTTTAAAGAGAGATATTCTCTCTTCATCTGAAATCTTTCCCAAAGATATACTGTACATGTAAATTTTTTTACTTTGCTTTTTAAAGGAGATAGAATGTAGGCATGAAAGAAGAAGACAGAATTGCCATCTGAAAGGTGCCTTTAGTTGCCTTTATAATTTCTGAATGGGGTAAAGTTGTCAAAATAAAGTAAAACCAAACAAAAACCAAGGTTCTGACTTCCAGACTTCAAATTAAAAGAGTTCTTAAGGGGAGTCTAGGAATCTGTGCTTCTGATAATATCCCCAGATATTCTGGTAAAACCATGTTGCTGACCAATATTTGGGAAGATGACTGCAGTGCAGCGTAGTACAGAGAGAGAGAAAGGAGAGGGAGAGAGAGGCAAAGAGGAGAGGGAGAGGGTTTTATTTGATAGAGCATGTTAAGGAGGATATGAGCAAATTTCTTGGAAAATAGCAACTATTCTAAGAATATGGGGATTAATAGCCCTTGTATCATCAGTCAGCTCCAGAGAGATTAAACTGGGAAAATAGTAAGACATTAAATAACTAGCATGCTTAGGATAGAATTTAAGGTGGTAGGAGACTTTGTTTTCTGATTAGTAAGTGAATTTTAGGAGTTTGAGTGCCTACTTAAAAAACAAATGGAAGTTGCCTCAGTGGTAGAGTGCTTGCTTCGCATGCATGAGGTCCTGGGTTCGATTCCTCCACACCACAAAAGCAGAAAAAAGCCAGAAGTGGTGCTGTGGCTGAAGTGGTAGGGCTCTAGCCTTGAGCTGAGGGACAGTGCCCAGGCCCAGAGTTTAAGCCCAATGACTGTCAAAAAAATAAAAACAAAAAAACAAATGGAGGGTTGGAAAGATGGCTCAGTGGTAGAGTGCTAGCCTAGCATGCATGAAGCCCTAACTTGGATTCCTCAGCACTACATAAACAGAAAGGCCAAAAATGGTGCTGTGGCTCAAATGATAGTAGACCACTAGGCTTGAGCAAAAGAAGCCCAGAGACAGGGCTCAGGCCCCCTGAGTTCAAGCCCCAGGGCTGGCAAAAAAAAAAACCCTCAAAACAAAAAACAAAATAGATTGGCTAACATATGCAACTGGATAGGGGAATCCAAAAACAGAAATCAAGACAAATAGTGAGAGGTACAAATGTAAAGCTCAGTACCTGAAAGTCCCTGTCCCATTGTATCTGGGGTAGAACATTACAATCTGACCTACTTTCCACAATGACCCTTGGTAATACCCTTAGTTATCATTGAGCCATAAACTTGGTTCTTTAACGGGTTGACTTACAGATAGTGGTTTAAAAGTAAGATCAACCAGACACCTTGGCTAAGAAGATTGTAGTTCAAGGCCAGCTCAACAACAAGCAGTTTGTGAGATTCTTAGCTAGACATACATAGTGGTATGTACCTGTTACTCAAGCTATGGGAGAAGCACAGCGGCTGGTGCAGCAGGGCCCATCTATGAGCTCTAGCCACACTGGGTAGCACAAGTAGGAGGATCACAGCCTTCCTTGAAAATAAGCAGTACAAGAAGGGGCTGGGTGGTTAGCACACCTCCAGTAGTAGAGTGTCTCCTAGCAAGCACCAGGCCCTGAGTTAAAGGGCCCATACTACTTGGGTGGGGCCAGGGTGGCTTAATTTTATCTTATATCTTCACTATATTGTGCTTAATTCGATTGCCATTGCTGTTTATTACTATTCAAATTGAAGAGCTTTCTTCTTGGTTTCTGTCCTCAAAGAAGTTTCTTAGGACTAGAATGAGAGAATGAAGTAGTCAGCATTATAAATTCTTAGCATCATACAATTAAACAGTGAAACACTTCGAACTCCTTATTACATGTTAGAAAAATGAAATGTATAGAGATTCTTACCTGCAGAAATCAGTGGCAAAACTGGAAGTAGAACTCAGGATTCCAGGACTCAAGGACAGATAGGTGATTGGGCTATTACTTAAATATTTAAAGTTTATTCTTTTTGTTTTTTGGTTTTTTTTGTCGGTCGTGGGGCTTGAACTCTGGGCTTGGGCACTGTCCTTCAGCTCTTCAGCTCAAGGCGAGTGCTCTACCACTTGAGCTACAGCGCCACTTCCGGTTTTCTGGTGATTAATTGGAGATAGGAGTCTCACAGTCTTTCCTGCCCGGGCTGGCTTTGAACCGCGATCCTCAGATCTCAGCCTTCTGAGTAGCTAGGATTACAGGCGTGAGCCACCAGCGCCCGGCTTAAAGTTTATTCTTAAGACATAAACTGTTCTGCCTTTGTTTATGGAAAACATGAAAATGTTAAACATATCTGGATACCCTAAAAAAAAAATCTCATTGTAATAGTTTAATGCTGTTCACTAGCACTCTGTTGCTTGTAGAATCTAGAAGTTGATTGAAATAGTAGCATATCCAAACAGCTTTTGATATTAAAGATTGTTTTAAATTAAACATGTGCATCAAGTAGTACCCTTTATAATTGAGTTCATTCTGTGGTTGACTCAGGCTATTTTTAAGAATAAGAAAAATGGAGTCCTATATGTAATAATGGATTTTTTTCAGTTATTTAATTTTATGTTCTGTATTTGTTGCTACAATTTTAAAAATATTTTTAAAGGGACAAGTTACCCATGTATCTTTTTTTTTTTAATCTCAAGAACCCTTTTTTAATATTAATTTTATTGCCAGGGTGATGTGTACTGAGGGGTTACAATTACATAAGTAAGGTAGTAATACATTTCTTGTCTGACTTGTTACCACCTCCCTTATTTTTCTCCCTCCTTCCATGCCTCTACCCATGTATCTTTAAATCATCCAGATATTTTATAGAATCACTTATGTATACCTGAGAGTGCGACTCTAAAATAGATAATTGGAAGTTTTCATCTGTAGAAGTTAGTTACACAATTTTTTAAAATACTTGCATTTGAACATATCATGATTCCCAAAATAATAATGTATTCACTATAAACAGTTAAAATATGAAAAGCCTAAATAAAAATAAAAGTTACTGATAATTAAAAAAATTATTACTAGTCATCATAAAGAGGCAGTGAAATATTTCAGAGACTGCAGCCTTGACTGGCAATCTCTTGTTTGTGACTTGAGTAATTTATCTTAGATTTTCGTTTCTTCAGAGTCCCCATTTGTAAAATGAGATTAATAATAACTATTCCATAAGATTGTTGTGAAACGGAGTAAGTTGCTATTTGTAAAGTATTTTATAAATTCTCTGTATATTGTTCCTAGAATGTTTATTCAATGATGGCATGGTGGTTAGACTTTTACATAAGCCAAAAAAACCCCACATAACTTTTAGAATCATCATCATCATAATAGCAAACTGGTACAGATAAGCATTGACTTCCAGAAGTGAATTCATTTAAGCTCATTTTGCATTTCAAGTTCATACTGTATTATGATGCTTCTTGTGCATGCAGTTTAGTTGCATGCAAAAGTAGGTGAAGTTAAATGTTTATAGGGACTATACAGACCCTATTGCATTAAATTCTTGTGGCACCCAGCATAGAGAGTAGAGACATGGAAGTGAACAGACATATATCACCTTATTTAAAATGAAAATAAATTTGTCTCGAGTGTTATGTGATGTATTTTAGGTGAAGCTAATACTAGAATACATGACATCTGAATCTCAGGGAAAATCTCTACCAAATCTTCTAAAAAGTTACATATCCCATAATAATGGGAGGAGTAATAAGCCGTGTAGTCTAAATATCATACCATTTTTTCACTTTGGAATTAAATATGTGATATAAGCATGTTTGTCTTGGTGATAGAAATCAAAAAATAAACATTTACCTACTTCAGCACCTAGCTAATTGAGAACTGGGAGAAGAAAAACAGAAATGGGCTACATAGCAATACAGGAGGTTACCAAGTTACCAAATTTGAGCTGAGACAGTAATTCGAAGTTTAGTCTTCAAAGTTTTATATGTTCCTTAGCATGCGACAGGTTTCTAATTAGAATCCCCTGTCCTCCGACCTTGAAGGTTATTTTCAAGTTTACATTTATTTTACTGTGGAATCTTGAAACTAAATTCCAAGATTTTATGTTCTTTCTGGACATAAAATTGTGACCCTATTGTTCAAAGAACAAAGTTGCTCCAAAAGAACATTACAATCTTAATAATTGCCAGCTCCATACAACTCTTTTTTCCCCTCATATTCTTAAGCTTTCACATCCTTGTAGTATGAAGAGTATTACCTGCTTTTTTTTTTTTTTTTTTTTGCAGTTTAGAAAGTAAGATTTGAGTTCCCTACTAAGGTTTAAATGTTAAAAATTAGCCAGGTGCTGGTGGCTCACATCTGTAATCCTAGTTATTCAAGGAGGCTGAGATATGAGGATCAAGGTTCAAAGCCAGCCTGGGCAGCAAAGTCTGTGAGACTCTTACCTCCAATAAACCACTCAGAAAACCAGAAGTGGCACTATGGCTCAAGTAGTAGAGTGCTCTCCTTGAGCTGAAGAGCTGAGGGACAGCGCCCAGGTTCAGAGTTGAAGCCCCACAACTGACCAAAAAAAAAAAAATTAAATGACAGTGAGACAAGTGAGGATTATTCTCAGACTCAGTCTTTCTACAACAAAATGCTGTCTCAAAAATAATAGGCCTTAATAATGTCTCTTGATAAAGCCTAAAAGTGAATTTGTAAATGTTAGAGACTACTGTTGAGCAACAGATGTTCTTTCAAGCTGAAGCTAAGAACCTCCATGGCTAAAACTATAGAGCCCTAAAGTTAAAGATACCCAGGGAGTAATTTTAGCCCACATCCCTAGCAGTTGTTACATAGCTTCCCAGCACACAGTTTATACATCTCATTAAAACAAAACTGTAAGTTCTTTTACTATGTGGCATGCAATCTCATTTTTCCTCATTGCGGTTTGCAAACCTTTAATTGTATTAGCCTATCTAGCTGGCATTGCAGTTGGCATTTTGAGAATGAGTGGATATAGAGCAACCTGATTTTTGTTTTTTATGTGGCTGAAATTACTATTATACACTTATTCTAATGAGGTTTGTGTGGCCCAAAACTGCTTGTAAAATAACATTTGGAATAATTACAAACATCTTAAAGAGTAGCTTTCTTTTTAAGTTAGCCAGCAAATGTTGGAAGCATTTTAGGGGAAAAAAAAATGGGTAATCAGGCTTTGTTATCAAATTCTAAACTTATAAAGTAAAACAGATTACAGAGTAAATACTTCACATTAGACTCTGGTGTTGATGATTAATCCCATAATTAACTGAAGTTAATCACCACTACATTATTCTGTGGATATAAATGTAGTTGGTGAAAGATTCATATCTGAAGAAATACTAAGTAGGGTTTGTTTGTTACCTGATAGATGCGAAGAATAAGGACATCAGCCAGGGTGTTTCACTCTCAGGAAAATACGGATATAAGCTACATTCTAATCCATCAGAAGTGGTAACTTACACTAAATGCTATTGTGAGAGACCATGAACTCCTTTCTTATTTATCCTGTCTATTTTGCTAATCTAATAAACATAATGGACTACTGATGAGCAGTTTTGAAGTCAAGTTCCTGTACCCCACTATTTTTGCTAAAATCAGAGCAGTCTGTAACAGACCTTTTGTTGTCTTACCCATTTTGGTATCCTTTAATATAAAAAGTAGCAGAAAATCCAATTCCAATTTTCTACTCTATATTAATCTTACAACAAATCAGCAAAGTAACTATTTTTTATTCTTGTTTCGTATCCTATTTTCCCATTTCTGTGAGACTGAATTTGTCTTTACAGTTTCATTAACCAAAAAATATAGCAGTTTGTCTCCTTTTTTAATCTGGAAAAAAAGTCACAATCTTCTCTGTTACTTAGCATTTTTCCTTTTTTTTATTTTGTTTCCATTTATTTTTATCTTGTTTTTACTCTGAAATTGACATACATTTTCTCTCTACATTTATCTTTCCAATTACTAGCTAGAGATGATTGCTATGGAAAATCCTGCAGATTTGAAGAAACAGTTGTATGTAGAATTTGAAGGAGAACAAGGAGTCGATGAGGGTGGTGTTTCCAAAGAATTTTTTCAGTTGGTTGTGGAGGAAATCTTCAATCCAGATATTGGTAAATATAAATAATTATGGTATTCTATCATTTTGAACTTAGAATATGAAGAGCAACAAAAGAATTTGGTATGGATTATCTATAATCCATAATCATATATAACTAGATTTTTTCTTTTTGTGACTGATCTGTATTTACTCCCTTACTCAAGTTTTTCTTTAAGTTACTTAGCCAAATATTTTAACGATATCAAATTACCATTTTCTGTAAATTTACTTGGAACATCTTAGAATGCGATACTTTATATTTACTTTCTATTTTATAAATAGAAAGACCTTTGTTGCTCTTGATAGTCTGAAATGGCTGCCCAGCTCATGGTATTCCTGAAACTAAATTAGGCTTATTTGCTATAAAATTGGTTGCAGAGAGCATGTTACTCAGTGGAGAGCATTTGTCTGATTTGGGCTCAGAGTTCACACCCAATTACAGCAATAATAAGTCTAATCAAACAATAACATGAATGAGAGAGACTCCATTTTTCACTCCACATATAGTATTTGTTTTCCAAAAAGTTTTATTTGAACACAGTTTGGGAAAGACACAGACATATGTCAGTCTGAAAGTGAAAATCAAAGTATGCTTTTATTCCTTTTCCTACGGATAAAGCAGGCCAGGAAGAAACGATACGGTCTTTTGGATAGTCTGCTTAACTTGATAGTTCTGAGCTGGTTCAGAATTAAAATGCTGGGTTTGCTTGCATTTAAAACTGAGGAAAGAATTAGTAGAAAGGACTCCCCTAAAGAGGCTATCACATTGCAAGGATTCATGGCATAGGATAATGTGTATCATCTTGCTAGACGTTAAAGTTGAGCTGTTGGGCCTGTGGATTCTTAGTGCTGTATGTATATGGAATTGACCTTTCTGTTACTGTTTGTAGTTATTCATTTTATCTGAGTATGTACATGTGGAAGCAGAAGCAAACATTTTGGGTTCATGAAACAAATTGTTGTGGTGAGATTAACTTTGCTATATTCTATAGTCATGCTTATTATTAATCAAAACTGTTTTTGTATTTTATTGTGTTCATTGAGAGCCAAAGACACAAAACTGCCCTATTTGAGAGAAAATAAATATATGCATGTATTTTTACCTATTGGGTGTATAAAGTATGAATGTAAATTAACCATTCATTACTTGAATTAATGAAAAACTTTTTTTTCCTTTCTAGAATTCTTCCACAGCTGCTTATTACTTTGGCAACTTAAAATTACATACTATTTCACACTTTTAACCACATTCAGATATTATATTTAGGCATTATTTTCTCTGGTTTAACTATAATAGAAAAAGGTTTTATAATATACTATATTTTAAGTTGTACACATGAATTCTTTCAAGTTGACATTTGTATTGTTCATTACTTTGTCATAAAATATAAAAGTAATATATTTTTAAAAATTATTTCTTGTAGGTATGTTCACATATGATGAATCTACAAAATTGTTTTGGTTTAACCCATCCTCTTTTGAAACGGAGGGTCAGTTTACTCTGATTGGCATAGTTCTGGGTCTGGCTATTTACAATAACTGTATACTGGATGTACATTTTCCCATGGTTGTCTACAGGAAGCTGATGGGGAAAAAAGGAACTTTCCGAGACTTGGGAGACTCTCACCCAGTAAGTTCATTGTTGTTTTGCATTCAGTCTCTTAGATTTTTTTATTTAAGTGATGAATTGCAATTTCTACAAAAGTGTTGAAGTTTGTGTTTGGGATTCTTGTTGGTATTTATACACAGTAAAATAATAATTATTTTAATCTAGCTTAAGTAAAAAAAAAAGGACAAATTTTATAGATGCTGCCAACAAAATCACTTAATTCTGTGGAGAAGCATTTTTAAAATAATTTGCTTTTGAATAGACTTAGTGAATCTGCCAGTTGATCTCAGAGCTGCTTGATTATTTGATAGCTACAGTTAGGATGCCTATTTCCCATCCTCCACCCTGCCTAGTAGCCTAGATGGAGGCAGCGTGGAGGATCTCATCATTAACCATGTGAAATGTGTTACTGAATTGCTGGTGGAAGGTTTCAGAGATTTCTCTGCTGCAATATTGATGAAAACTCATGACTGATAATCTTCCTTTGCTATTACCAACTATTAGCAGACAGGAGAGATATGGTCTATGCTTACATTCTAAGAAGAATGAAATAAGCATGTCCTGTGTTTTAGACTTCTGTGGTAGCTCACTTTTCCATTTTTGATTCTTAGGTTCTATATCAGAGCTTAAAAGATTTATTGGAATATGAAGGGAATGTAGAAGATGATATGATGATCACTTTCCAGATATCACAGACAGATCTTTTTGGCAACCCAATGATGTATGATCTAAAGGAGAATGGTGATAAAATTCCAATTACAAATGAAAACAGGAAGGTAATATCATTGTTACTTTAACGGTTTCAAAGCATGCATGTTGTAGTCTTCAAAGAAGTACCACTTACATAGTTCAAACCAAGAACAATATGTCAAGAAACAAAATTCATATAAATGGTAAAGCTATAGTTTGGTAAATCTTGGATATAAATAATTCTTGAATGTTTTTCCCTTGAAAAAAAAAGAGCTTGTTTTTTTTTTAATTTGCATACCATATTTTAAAAGTAGATCTTTGGTTGTGTTTCCTACAGGAATTTGTCAATCTCTATTCTGATTACATTCTCAATAAATCAGTAGAAAAACAATTTAAGGCTTTTCGTAGAGGTTTTCATATGGTAACCAATGAATCTCCTTTAAAATACTTATTCAGACCAGAAGAAATTGAATTGCTTATATGTGGAAGCCGGGTAAGTGCAAACGTCTTCCAAAATAATCATGTATTGATTTACTGTTTGTAATACTGTAGTGTAGAAGATGTTAAGACATATTTTCTTGAATTTGCAGAATCTAGATTTCCAGGCACTAGAAGAAACTACAGAATATGACGGTGGCTATACCAGGGACTCTGTTGTGATTAGGTGAGGTGCTTAATTCTTAAAAGGAAGATTTGATTCACCAAAGAAGTGTGTATGCTTGTGCTTCAGTCCTTTGTCTCTAGGTGCTACTTCTACACAATTTTACTTATAAAAATAGGACTATATTTATGATGGACAGTTTTTGTAGTCTCTTTCATAAATGAAATACTTTATGTGAGTCTCATGTTATTTCCTGCATTTGGACTATAAATTATTTGATAGCCTGTTTACATGTGAAATGCATTCCTTAACTTAATCCTCAAGGTAATATGACAAGAAGTATATCCAGCACCATGTTGTCTGTCCTGTGCCATTTAATCCTGAAAGATGCAGGCTTTCATGTTCTCTACTGAGGCTGGTAAAAGGGACCATGTTGCTCTTCTGCCACACTCTGGTAGGGTGAGGTGAGAAAGCATTCAAACAAGAGGCTTCTTAGAAGGTTATTGCTTTACAACTCCTTTAAGTGCAAGCTTGAGAGTTAACTCTGTCCAGCAATAAGTATTCTTTCATGTCATTACTTTTACTGCCCTATTTTATGTTAAAATTCTTTCATCATGGTCTGTAGGTTACTGCTCTTTCTGGTGTACTGTTAGTCACTTCTCTCAATTTTTGTAAACATATTTAGCAACTATTATATTACTATTAACTCAGTTCCAAAGGTTATTCATAAAATGTTTGAGATAATAAACATAGTGATTAAAAAAGAGCCCCATGTTGGTCAAAAGTCATATCAGAAATATTTTCAATACTACTGATAGTACATTCAACAAAGTTATGATGAAAGTGATATCTTAGTGATTCCTTGAAAATAGAAATAGCTTGTATCACTTGTTATGGAGAAATTCTCTTTGAAATTGAAATCATTAGCTTTTATAGCAACATTATTTTACTTAATTGTGCACTTGGAGAGCATGTGTGCATACATTATTTTAAGGACAAATACTGTGTGAAATCACAGCGGTATAGCAGCTTAGAGTTGATAAAAGCCTTTTTGAATGATTCAACTTACTGTTTTCATCAGTAGAAATATGATGAATACATCACTAATATCTACAGATGATAAGAAGTCAAAGCCCTAAATAGTGGTTGTAATACTAGGAATTAAATGACAAGAAAGTATCTCCATTAGTACTTATTTCATGTGTTCTGAATTCATAAAAACAAGATGTATAAGGAAGTTTTTGTGTATTCCAGTAGCTGTAAAAGTTTGGATTTTTTTCTTGGCTACTCACAATCATTTTTACAAGTCATCCCCCTTATCTTTTTGGGGTGCAAGAAAGACAAGAAATTAATTCTTTTAACACATCTATTTCAGTGGCTTGGTTCAGATATTTAGTTTCCAACCAAGTATTTCACAGGTTTTAGTTTACGTTTCTTTCTACTTAGACATTTTTGACTACTTTTGTTGTTGTTGTTGTTGGTCATGGGGCCTGAACTCTGGGTCTGGGTGCTGTCCCTCAGCTCTTCAGCTCAAAGCTAGAGCTCTACCACTTGAGCCACAGCACTACTTCTGGCTTTTTCTGCTTATGTGGTGCTGAGGAATCGGACCCAGGGCCTCATGCACGCAAGGCAAGCACTCTACCACTGAGCTACCTTCCCAGCCCCTGACTAGGTTTATTAGTGACTTTTACCATGGATTATGATTGCCTGGATCTAGTAACTCATCAAAGACTACAGTAATTATACTATTGTAATTCCTTATTACTACCAAATTAGTGCTTCTTGAGTATTGCCTGCAGTAGTCAAATCAACTTGTTGGTTTCTCATCATTTCAGGCACATAAATATGGTCTAACATATTTGTAAATATACCTATCAAACTAGATTAGTACCTGAATGTTCCTCGTTATTTACTAATTTTCCATATACTAATGTTCTTTATGTGTTACCAAATTTGGCCTTGGTAGTAGTAATGGTGGAATTGATACTGTATGGAGTGAAATTTGAGTACAGTAAGCAGAGCAGAACTTAACTGGACAGTGTAGAATTTAGAAAAGGATACCCTTAGAACACATCCTCAGTCCAGATAAACTCCCCAGAGTTCTGTGTCTCCACAGTCAGTCTCCATTCCCCACAGGCAACCACTGTTTGGATTGCTGTCCACATTAGACTTGTTCTTGGCTTTCCTATAATGAAGTCACACAGTATATGCTTTTCAAGTTCATGTTATTACATTAATGTATTCATTGGTTTTTGGCAGAGTAGTGGTAAAGTAGATGAGTATACACTATGTGTTTATCCATTACCCTGCTGGTGGGCAACTAGATAGATTATTTGGGGGCTTGGTTTATTATGGATAAAATGGTATGTAGTCTTAATGTGGAGCTTTTTTCTCTTGAATAAATGTGTAAAGAGTAGAAGTTTGGGGTTGGTTATATTTAACTATTTAATAATTTTATAATACTGCAAGAATGATTTGTAATGCAACCATACCATTTTACCAGCAATGTGAGTTCCAGTTGTTAAGCATCTTCAGGATTTGGTAGTAATGTTCTTCACCTTTAGTCATCCTACTGAGTGTAAAATGATAAAATGATAACTCATTGAACTTTTAATTTGCATTTCTCTTGTTCTCTTGAGTAATGATGTTGAGTATGTGTTTATTGGTGTGTCATGCCTTTTGTAATTTTTTGGTGAATGTATTTTTCCAGGCAGCCTTTCTTTTTCCGCTGAATTGCCCTAGGACTTCTGTTTGAAAAATCAGCTTATGTATGTCTTTCTTTTGTTCTCTTTCTCCTCTGTTGATAAATATTTTTTTCTTCTGTCAGAAATCACAATTTGATTTAAATATTCTCTGTTTAAATCAAATGCTGTAAGTCCTCCCACATTGATTTGGCTATTTCTTTAGAAGTATCAAAATTAGTTTGTGAAGTTTTATAGAGAGAAAAAAGAAAAAGCCTGCTGTGATTTTAAGTTTTGGTGGATGTAGGTAAATTTGCAGTTGATTTTCTCTTTCCAAGTTCTGATAGTTCTTTTCATGTGTTGTAGATATACTTCTGTTCTTGCTTCCTTGTCATTTTTCTCCTATCAGAAATCATTTGGGCATATTGGATTGATTTCTGGGATTTGTCTCTATCTCTGTTGGCTCTGCTATTTGGTCCTTACCCATTTAAAAATTATTTAGTCTTGATGGATTAGTTCTTTTATCAAGATCTCATTCCTTGTAATTTTACTTGTTCTGCATATCATATAACCGTTACTGTTTTTAAAATTAGTAATTGCATATTTTTCTCTCATTACTTTTAGCCTGTGTTGCTGTATTTGAAATCAGTTTCGTGTAAACAGCATATAGTCGGGCTATTGTTTTTCAGCCATTCTTTTAGTCTCTACCCTTCAATTTGTTCATTAAGGCATTAGCATTTGAGGTTGTTATGGATATGTTAGAACTTCCTTTTGCAATTTTCTCATTTGTTGTCTGTTTCTTTAATCTTCGTGGCTCCTTGTTTACATTGTTCTTCCATGGATTACTTACTACACAGTTTTAAGAATTGTCTGTTGATTTATGTTCTTTTTTGTGTTTTTTGCCTTGTATAGTTTTTTGTGTATATTACAGATAATATACATGTGACAGCATTATTCGTGGATGTTAACACTACTTTGTGTAAAGTGTTGAAACTCATTTTTAATCATTTCCCTTGATCTTCAGTGGAACATTGACTAATGTTAGATTCTTTTAATTTTCCTTTTTTAAAGCCATTTTTTCCTCTCTTGCTGAAGATTGGTTTCATGTATGCTATTTAGGGTTTGTTCAGCCTAAGCTTTGGTTTGTATCTTTTACCAAACAAGGAGAATTTTCAGCCATTCTTTCTTCACATATTCTTTAAGCCCTATTCTCTCTATTTTTTTCTTTGGGCCTGAAAAGATGAGAATTGGTGAGTCATTTATTATTGTTCTGCATGTACCTAATGCTTGGTTCACGTTTCAGTGTATTGTTTCTCTTGTTCAGATTTCTGTCTCCTGTCATCTTCATTCTACATGTTTATAATTTCCATTTGGCTCTTCTGTTGTGACTTCTATTATTATTATTATTATTGCCGAGAGTGCCTATTGTTTCTGAAACAGAGCTTGTACTAGCTTGTCAGATCATTTTTATGATGACAGCATCAAAACCTTTGTCAGATAATTCCAAGATCTCATTCATCTGTGTTGGCGTCAGATGATTTTCTTTCTGTCTTGTGGCTTTTCCTTGTTCTTGGTATGACAAGTGATGTTTGCATTGTATCCTGAACATTTTGCCTGCTAAATCCACAGACTCGGGGTCCTGTTTAGGTTTTGTTTGTTTTTTGTTTTGCATTAGCGGGAGTCATGCTGTTTAGTTTGAGCATGCAGAGTCCTGACATACCTTATGGATTGAGGTTCCAGTGACAGCTTCTATCTTCCTACTTTATGCCTCCCACTTAGCAGGGATTACAAGTCAAGCCTATGCTTGACTTGAGATGATGTCTCTCTTTATTTATGTTTGTTGGCTTGGTTTCCTTAACTGGCCTCGAATTTCAGTCTTCCTGACATCTTGAATAACTGGGGTTACAGTTACCAACCAAACCAAGTCCTCTATGTTGATCTTTACTTTTTAACTTTTCTTTCCTTTTTGTTTTTAGGTTCTTTATCTTTAGTAGAAATTTTGGTTGTATTAATTTATCCTTTGGTCACTTTATATATGAGTGTATTTGTTCTTTATTTCTGAATTTTTATATCCTTTTTTTTTTTTTTTGGTCCGGTCGTGGAGCCTGAATTCTGGGCCTCCGTGCTGTCCCTCAGCTCAAGGCTAGCGCTCTACCACTTGAGTCACAGCGCCACTTCCGGCTTTTTTCTTTTTGCTTATGTGGTGCTGAGGAATTGAACCCAGGGCCTCATGCATGCAAGGCAAACGCTCTACCACTGAGCTACCTTCCCAGCTCTGAATTTTTATATCTTGATATTTATTGTTCTTTCATACCTGTCATTGTACTTTCAATTTGGAATGTGACATTTGTATGTTTTGTATTTTTTTTTCTCTTGGAATTTTCTCTGTAGGAAAACTGCTTCTTACTTGGCAAGATTTTTTTCATAACACCTTTATTTGAATTTTAAAACTTTGCTTTCTTATTCACTTGCTATTACTAGATCTCATAGGCAAGTAGGGATGGGCTTGGGTGTCTTCAGTGATCTTGTGTTGCTGAGATGCAAGACTTCTTTAGGTATATGGCTCTTACTTAGGTGACACAGTGCATTCTGATTCTTCAGCTTCATCTTGTTTTGTTAAAGATCCTTTTCTAGCCACTTTCATCCACTGGTGTCCAGAAACTACGTTCAAGGGACATCTTGGCTGGTTCTGGCCCCATTCTGGTCCCTGACTGTAAATCTAGGGTGCTTTTAGTGTTCTCTCTCTGTGGATGTGGGCAAGTTGTTGAGATACGAGGAGCACAGATGTGACTCGGGTGCTGCTGTGTGTGGAAGCTTCTTCTAGTATTTTTTATGTAGCACTTAATTACAGGAACAGACGAATTTTATTCAGCAATTGTTTTCATTATGTAGGTTGAGCATGTTTTAAAATTTATTTTTAAAAGCCAAAGAAATAGCGTTTTAATAATATGTCCAGCCCAGACTTGTGATCATCACTCATTGGCTAGTGCATTCGGGTTTTTCTCCTTCCTCGGTGGTGCCTGTGGCTCTCTGTGTACAGTGTGAGGATGCTGTGTTAGCATCCAACGTGGTGCAGCTTTCGCCCGAGAGAGGGCAGTAAACTTACTTTTCTCTTGCCAGTCTACCATAAGGAATGGCATTAACTGCTCTGATTCTTCTCCTTCCTGAAAGGTGGCTTCTACAAGTTCCATGTTCTGGTTTCTGTCGCAGTGTATGTCCTTATTGTGTCTTCTAGGTGAATAGTAAGTTTGCAGGAACAGTGACAAAATAGTATCAAAAGATTAGTGAAAGCCAGGAAAGCTTATCAAGCTGGTGAAACATGACATCACAGAAATAAAAACGCCAGCCTCTTGGTCATAAAAGTAGTATGAAAGCGCAGTATAAAACTCCAGAATTCCAGTTAATGATTTGTGAAATGTGACCTTCTCTGCTGTGATTTTGGAAAGAACTTGTCAGATGAATACTAAAATGAAACTTATTTGTATATAAAACCTTAAATTTTTAGCTGTGGATTAGTGTATATATTATTTTTATAGATGGCTAATTATTTAAATAGGCATGAGATTGCATTTTGCTTCTTGGGACAGAATGGCATCAGATTGGAAGCCAGGACTTTCTCTTCAGATAGCTTCACATGATGATAAATGCCAAAATCATTCTCTCCTACCACACACAGCACATACTATTTTATATGTTTTCATTCCTATAAAAAAAAAATGGGGGGGGTGGGTCCGGTCGTGGGGCCTGAACTCTGGGCAAGGCTAGTGCTCTACCACTAGAGCCACAGCGCCACTTCTGGCATTTTCTGCTTATGTGGTGCTGAAGAATCGACCCAGGGCCTCATGCATGCAAGGCAAGCGCTCTACCACTGAGCCACCTTCCCAGCCCCTCCTATAAAATTTTTGTACTTTTTATTGCTACAAAATATTGTTTGGCTTGTTATTAATCTGTATCACCTCCCACTAACTAAGGTAAAGAATGAGTAGATTGGAGGAAAATGGAGGGAGCAAGGCAACATCTGCAGTTAATTTTGACAGCCTTCTTAGTGGTTTTCAGTCGTGGATGTGTTTTATTGTTATTGACTACCTATTGTGATTCTGCTATGATTATATTGTCATTTCTTATTGTGAGGGCTTACAGTCTTTTTTTGCAGTCTTGTAAATAGTGTGAAAAAAATGTTTTATATATTGGTTTTCCTAAGATAAATTTGCCTTAGGATTACTATCAGTTGACTCTTTAGTCCTAAAAATTAACTTTAAAGTTGTCTCCTAGTATTTATACTGTAAGCTTATATTAGTGCTAATACTAGTGAATGCCTAATGAAAATCAGAATTCTGTCTTTTCTCTCTAGGGAGTTCTGGGAAATTGTTCATTCATTTTCAGATGAACAGAAAAGACTCTTCTTGCAGTTCACAACAGGCACGGACAGAGCGCCTGTAGGAGGACTAGGAAAATTAAAGATGATTATAGCCAAAAATGGCCCAGACACGGAAAGGTAATGACTGAGTTTTGATTCCATAACTACTGAAAACTTGGCATCGCATGTCACTCACATATGAGCTTCCTTTGTAGCTGCTGGGCACCCTTTTGGTTTTATTTTAAAATACAATTCACATCAAGCATTAGTTCAGAGAATATTTGGCTATTATTGTTAGAGAAGTCCTTTAAAGTGACAAATTAAAATTATGGTCCTGATTTACAAATTAGTATGATTCTTTTTTAACAGTTTTGTTCATTGGAAAGACTAATTATGTGGAAATCCATTTAGAATGGTTTAAATTGAGGTTTAGGAGATTGTCAGTTCAGCATGAGATTATTCTATAACCCTCTATGAATATAATTTTGGTATTTAGTTTTATTATTTCATTGTGTACCTTTGTACGTGGGAGAGCTAATATATTGTACCACCAGCAGTTGCATATTTTGTGCTTTAAATGTACAGACTTAACTCATTATAGTACTAACATAAATGTATATTTGTTAGGAAATCATTTTCCCCGTCAGATTTCCAGCAATAGCTAATAAACATTAAAGAACACAGACTTTGAAATCTAAAATCAGGTTTGAATATTTTTCCCAAATAGGTTAGTTCTCAGTGATTTCAATTTTAAAGAGTCTGTATGTCTGTTGTGGGAAGACTTAGTTACATAAACTACAAAGATTAAAAACCTGAAATGATAACTGCTATGGAGTGATAGCTCAGTGGAGGTAATATGCCATCATCGCAATCATCATCATCATCATTTCATAGTATTAGTTATAGGATAAAGACAGCATGATTCTTGTTTATGACTTGCTGTATGTATAGTGCTTCATTGCAAACCATCCTAACCATATATACTCCATCTAAAAGTAGGAACATTTAATATTGAGCATATTTCCCATGACTTACTATTTTCCTGTTTTTCCCTCTTTTCTCTATTTAGGTTACCTACATCTCACACTTGCTTTAATGTCCTTTTACTTCCGGAGTATTCAAGCAAAGAAAAACTTAAAGAGAGATTGTTGAAGGCCATCACATATGCCAAAGGATTTGGCATGCTGTAAAACAAAAATCAAAACAAAAAACACAAAAGGAAGAAAAAAAAAGAGAAAAAGTTTAAAAATTTAATAAATATACTGAGGGATAAGTTTGGTGGTGATAGTGTCACAGTAAAAAGGCTGTAAGATAGTGAACCACAGTAGTCATCCGTGTCTGCCTCCCTTCTTCATTTGGGGACATGTGGGCTGGAACAGCAGATTTCAGCTGCATAGATGAACAAATCCTTTATTATTATTATAATTATTTTTTGTGTGAAAGTGTTACATATTCTTTCACTTGTATGTACAGAGAGGTTTTTCTGAATATTTATTTTAAGGGTTAAATCACTTTTGCTTGTGTTTATTACTGCTTGAGGTTGAGCCTTTTTGAGTATTTAAATATATATACCAACAAAACTACTCTCCCAAGAAAACCATTGCCATCATTTGTAGACCATGTAACCTGCAAGTATGTGCTTTTTTTTTTTTTTTGTCCCTGTATCTAACTCAAATCAGGAACTGGTTTTTTTTTGTGTTTTTTTTTCTGTTTTTTCCCCCCCTAATGATTTTTGCTTTTGAAACTTGAAGTCTTGGAAACAGTGTGATGCAAGTACTGCTGTTCTAGCCCCCCTAAGAGTTTTCTGTGCAAAATCTTGAAAATCAATAAAGATGGGAGAACTTAGAATGTTCGAACTACAACCCTCAGAACTTTAGTAACAGCACAACAAATTAAAAAGCAGCTCCTGCCACAGTACGTTGTCTTCATGTGTCTTGCAATGAACTGTTTCAGTAGCCAATCCTTTTTCTTAGACTATGGAAGGACAGGGATTTTTTTTTTTTCGGTTACTGTTCTTGTTTTAAGTTTACTGGGGAAAGTGCATTTGGCCAAATGATATGGTAGTCAAACCTGTTGCAACAAAGTTAGAAGTTCGTTGTTCGTTATAAAAAGCATGTGAAAGTGCACTTAAACTTTATTAATTACTTATTACCTAGATTTTAAATAGACAATCCAACGTCTCCCCTTCGTGTTGCTATCACCTCGTTTAATCGACTACGTTATGAAGGCACGTGATCAGTGTTGCAGTGTAACAGGAAGGGTGGCTACCGTGCCTTGCGCCTTGCGTTACTTAGTCATACGAGTAAGTAGGCCTGGAAGTGAATGGAATTTTTACTCCTCAGAATTACATTGTATATCCCCAAAGATTAAATTTTGCTTTCAAAAGTACTGTTAAAAGATTACTTTCATGTACTACAGGAAAGAACAAATAGGTTTAAATTACTGGATATTTAAGGTAGTGGTTTCCCTGTTCCTAGTCTTCTATGTCTGTGATGTTAATTTCTTTTTTTTCTTTTGCATTATAAAATAAAAGGATTATGTATTTTTAACTAAGGAGAGACATTGATATATCATTTTACTACAGGCTACAGCTAATGTGCTGAGCTTGTGCCTTGATGATTAAACAGATTACTGCAGATCAGCCTGATAATTTGTTTGAAATTGGCATGAAAAGTACAGCTTTCAAATCATTGGAGGGGGAAAAAGGATGTCTTTCAGGATTATTTTAATTCTTTTAGTAATTGAAATACAACTGTCAATGTACTGTGATGCTAATAAAACAGTGGCATTTATTTTTCACTATAATGGAAAAAGAAAATAATGCTTTTCATATTGTGATGTGATAAGGTAACATGGGGTTTTTCTGGGCCAACTTTCAGAATACTGATGGTGTATACATTATAATACAAGGAACTCTCAATCGTTTAAAAGAGCCTCTCATCCACTGTGCTTCTTAGTATTATGAACGTAAGAAGTAAAATGTGCTGGGGATGTTCTATATAATCAGTTCATGAAGAAACTCGTGTTGGTAAATTCTCAAATTCCATTATAAGTACAGGTTATCAGTTAAAAGTCACATCAATAGATTTAGCAAGGTGTCCAAAATAAATCCACCCTAAACCTTTTTTTTTCTTTTTGGAGAAAAAAAATCACTCCTCAGTAACCAGTTACTGCATCATATTACTTATTATGATAGTCTTTTATTACTTACTAGAATGCCAGTGAATAGAATCTTAAGGACGACCAAAACAGATTCCGACTGTAACCTCTACTCTCCCTTCCCCACACGTTCGTTATCAAAGCACTGCTGGTTGCGGGAGGCTGTTTTCTTAGCTGCTTTGCTTCTCTTTGAATTGGCCAATTATCTCCAGGGCAGAGGAAGAATTGAACTATAAAATAATTCCCTAATTATAAAATGTGATTTTCTTAAATGTAATGTCTTACCTTTTAGAATTGTAGAGCACTCACACATACAACAAAAATATAGCCTGCTGCCACAGACTTGGGAGCAGGTGAACTGCCTGTCCAGACCGTGGTTATTGCTTTTCTGGCCTATGGTCATGTGATAAAGTCCAATTTGGATTTCTTTAGCCTTATTTTCAGACACATTTCTATGTAGGTACACTGAAATAAAGAAACCTGAGAATGAGGCTTCAAACAGAGCACTTCTATATCATTCATTCAGAATGGGGCCAGGTGTTTACTAGAAAGGACAAATGGTTGGACTGGGCCCTATCACCCCATTTCAGTAGGAGCCTGGTAAGGGCTGAGGTTTCAAGTCCCTGTTGAGAGTTTTCTCAATAATTCACATAAGCTGTCAGAGCAAGTATCTTATTAAATCACTGTAATCTAGGTACCTTTACCTCCTTACCTCAAAAATAGTTTTTCTATCCATCAGCCTTCCCTTCATCTAGGACTGCCTATAATCGCCCTTTCTTCCCTCAGACCACCAAAGAGCCAAAAAAAAACAAAAAACCCGCTTCCAATTGCTGCCTCTTTTACTTGGCTTGCTTTTACCATGTCAGTGTGAAGCGATCTGGGGAGAAGATTTCTTAGCATAGAGTTGCTGCTTTTTCTCCCTTCCCTGTTCTTGTATGGACACTTGTTAATCCTAACAAGCGGGTTTGGGCGTACATGTAGGCTAGATTTCACTGTGGGAGAGGCCTCTAATCCAATACTGTTTCACTTAAAATTGATTACCGAAGCACATTCCTCACTTCCTAATTGCCAAAATCTAAATTCTTGGCTTTGAACCTTGACAGCTCTGAACCCGGGCTGCTCTTTTCCGTCTGCCCCCTTTCCGTCCCAGCTCATCCAGATTTTACTTAAAAGGCCTTGCCTGAACTTCACCAGCACTCTTCGGTCTGCCTCTGTCGCTGTCAATCATTCTTCCTCACTTTTGTAACCTCTCAGCCCTCTGCTGTAATGATGGAAGATGCCCGGCACGCAGTAGCATGTCTAATGAAGCCGCCTGACCTCTCACTAAACACAGCCTTTCCCACCCCTATTTAAAGCTACTTGGAGATCTAGTGGTTAAGTTGCCTCCTTGAGGAGGTGGCTCCTTGGAGTCCCTGGCCCTGTTACTCAGCGTGTGGACTGGTCAATCAGTAGCAGAGACGCTGAGGCCGGGGGGGGGGGGGGGGCTTGGGAGCACCATTTTGTGCAACTTTGTCCAGTCTGCACTTGTGCTGTGCCCTGGAGCCGCCTGCAGCGGCTGCTCTGCCCTCCTCCCCAGGGGAGGTGGGAGTGGAGATTTAACACTTCGGATATTGCCAAATTTTCAAGAAGGCTGTGCTGCATAAAGCACTGTGAGCCAGGGTCCCGCAGTGCTGCGGGACGGTCACGTTAGCCTTTTTCTCGCACTTGTAATTTAGGTTCTCAAGGGAGCTAACTTCCAGTGCACACCAGGCCCTCGTACAGGTGATCTCTCATAGAGCATCTGCACTGTGCTATGACAGAGGCCATGGGCCAGCCAGACGAATTAAGGGCTGTGCCTACACCTATCTAAAATGAGCCATTTTCCCCATTGCCAAAAATGTGCAAATGAAGAGTTGTAGGTTTTAGCTCAATAGGACTTTGAATACTTATCCTAACTCCTCCAGCCCCCAAAGAAACCACAAGAAATGGGCTGGGATGGGGAACAGAAAGTACACAGTGGTGGAGGGGCCAGCCCTGAGAGTCAGAGGACTCCAGGTCTCATTCCTGGCCTTGCCATGTCCGTGGCTTGAATTACACCCAATCCTACCTTATCACTGGCTGTCAGGATTCAGTGGACTGAGATCCAGACACTAGGCAACATCTTGCAAGACATCCTGAAGATAGAGATGGGTTCTCCCAAAATTTTTGCCAGTTAAATAAGAGAAAGAAAATTATTGAGAGATTGGGAATGTGTTCGCTAAAGATTTATTTTGCAAGAGTTGACCTCTCATCCACCTCCAAATGGAAGAGGAGTGCTCCCCTCATCTTTAAGATAGAATTCACATGCATAAAACCACCCTTTTTGGAAGTGTAAAATTTGTGGTTCTTAGTATGTTCACAGAATTGTGCAGTTGTCATCATTATATAGTTCCAGAGCATTTTCATCACTGTAAAAAAAAAAAACAAAAACAACAACAAAAAAAAAAACCTCTGTACCCATAGCAGTGACTGCCTGTTCTTACCCCCCAGCCCCTGACAATACTCATCTACTTTCTGCTCATGGATTTGCTTATTTTGGATATTTCCTATCAATGGAATCATAATATGTGGCCTTTTGTATCTCCCTCCCCCTTAGAGTAATGTTTTCAAAGTGCATCTGTGTTGTAGCATGTATTGGTACTTTGTTTCTTTTGTGGCTGAATACTGTCATTGTATTGATATCCTGTATTTTTTGTTTATCCATTTGGTTGGTGGATACTTGTGTTGTTTCTGCTTCTTGGCTATTATGAATACTACAATCATGAAAATTTGTGTACAAGTTTTTATGTGGACCTAAGTTTTCATTTCTCTTGGTTATATCCTTTAAGTGTCTTGTGGTTTTAGTTCTTATATTTAGGGGTCTTTGGTCCATTTTTGCATGTGGTGCATTGTAGCGGTCCAGCTCCGTTTGTTGGTATGTGGATATCCAGTAGAACACACACCGATTGGTCAAAAGACTGTTCTCTCCTCATGAATGGTCTTGGCACCCTTGTCAAAAAAAGCAAGTGACCATAAATATAAGACTTTGATTTTGGACTCGCAATCCTCCCCGCACCCTATTGTTCTGTATGTGTGTCCTTAAGCCGGTATCCTGTTGTGTAGATTACTGTAACTTTTGTGGTAAGTTTTGAATTTGAGATTTGTGAGTCCTTCAACTTTGTTCTATTTCAAGATCATTTTGGATTTATTCTGAGTCCCTTGTATTCTACATGAATTTTGAGATCAATTTGTTAATTTCTGCAAAAACAAGCACCTGGGATTTTGATAGTGATTGTGTTGAATCTATAGATCACATTGAAGAATGTTGCTATTTTAACAGTATTAAATTTCCCAGTTCATGAACATGGAGTCTCTTTCCATTTGTTGAGGTCTGTAGTTTCTTTCAATGATGTTTTATTGATTTCTGTGTATAAGTCTTGACCTGTTTGGTTAAATATTTTGCAGGTATTTTATTTTTGATGTTACTACAAACATTTATTTTCTAGTTTTCATTTTTTGGGTTATCTATTGGTAGTGTTTAGAAATGCAATTGATTTTTGTATATTGACCTTGTATACTGTAGCTATTCAGAACTCATTTATTCTAATTTTTTTAAAAAAATTTCTACATACAAGATCATGTGTCTGTGACTAGAAATACTTTTACTTCCTTTCAAATCTGGATTCTTTTTTATTTTATTTTCTTGCCTAAGTGCCCTGGCTAGCACCTTCAGTACAATATTGAATAGAAATGGCAAGAATGGACATCTTTTTCTTGTTCCTGATTTTACGGGGGAAAGCATTCAGTCTTTCACCATAAAGTATGATGTTAGCTGTGGGTTTTTCATCGATGCTTCCAGTTGAGGAAATTCCCATCTATTCCTCCTTTGTTGAGTGTTTTTATCAAAAAAAAAAAAAAAAAGGTATTGGATTTTTGTCAAATGCTTCTTCTGTATCTATAAAGGTTGTCATGTAGTTTCTGTCCTTTATCTATTGATACGTTGTATTACATTGATGGATTTTTGTATATTGAACCAACCTTGCATTCCTGGAGTAACCCCACTTGTCTATGCTACATAAACCATTTTCTATGCTGCTGGACTTGGTTTGCTAGTATTTTGTTTAGAATATTTGCATCTATATTCATAAAGGATATTGGTCTGTAGCTTTCTTTTCCTGTTATCTTTTTGTCTGATCTTGGTATCAGGGTACTGCTGGTCTCATAGACTGCTGGGAGCTTTCCCTGGCGTTAATCTCACTGAGATATATTTCGAATGGAATATATCAAGTCCTTGACCTGTGACCTTTAGATGTTGGGGAACACAGAAATGTATTTGGCTCTGTCGAGGGTCCCCAGGTAAGATATGCTCAAAGCAGCCTTTGGCCGCTGACTAGAGGACGCTTGCACCAAGGATGAGCTCAAGGCCACGGAAGGGGAATGAGCCACTGAAAACGGTGTTGCACAAGTAAGCGGCTTTCGGGCCAGGCACAGCTCGGAGTACTACCTGAAGTAGAATCTCCCAGGGCAGGGGAGGTTGGAAGCCACCAGCCACGCCTGAGAATCTCCATTGGGACTTCCAGAAGGGTGTCCTCCATCAGAAAATGACTAACTTCCTCCCCGCTGTAGCTCAGTGACATAATACCACTTGATAGTCCAAGTTTTGCCCTCAGATCCCTCTACTGCAAAGAAGTCAGAAATGTGTGTGGAGTGGCAATGATGGTGCAGGGAGAAAACCAGGTTGCCACCACCCCCCTCCCCCCCAGCTCAGGCTTTCCATCCATAGACAGATGCAAGCAAGAGGCAGTTTGCCTTCTGCTCAGGGAGTCTGGCATTTCACCCCTCGCTTTTTACTACTTCGGTGGATGCTTTATTTCTACCAAGTGACCAGAAAAGCCACATGGCTGGATGTTTCGTTCCCAGAAAAGTCTAGAGACAAGGATACAGAAAGAAAAACCAGTATTTCACCTATTGTTCTCACCACCACCCCATACTTAAAAAGTAAGTGGGCTCTTTGGGTTGAGGGGTATCCATCCTGGGCGCTCAGGGTGGTATTTGCTGTGAGGAAAGTTCTCTGGGAGATCTCAAGCCCTGCCTCTCATCCTAGGAAATGTTAGTGCCTTAAAAATCTTTTTAGTGACGTTTTCTGGCACTAAAGAGTCGAGGTAAATACCACAGGGAAAGAGCTCAAAATGGGTAAAAGGAATATATAAAAGCACAGTTTGGACTTACAGTTCTAATATTGTACCTACATACAGGCACCTGATAGATGTGTGCAGGCCTTGGGGGGCGGGGCGTCTTCTATGCTGGCCTTTGCAGAGGCCGCACACTCAGCTTTTATGTGAACGGGGAGAGAGTGTAATGCCCCTATCCATGGTCCTTGCAATTCAGAGATCACTGCCGTGGTTTTAGCAAGGTGGATTGCCTGCGAGTAGAATGGGGAAGATGGTGGGTGGGGGAGACAGGACAGAAAGCAGCCCTCACAAACTCCGTTCAGACAACGAACAGACAGTCTTGGTTCTGACTGCAGATTAGGTGGGGGGGGGGGAGGAAGGGACTGAGTACAGGTTGGTCAAGTTCTAGTCCGAGTGCCGGAGATACCCAGTGGCACCTCTCCTGAGCTAAGGCTACAGGTCTAGAAAGAATCCTATAGAGAACGAAACCAGACGGCCCTGTTAGGTCAAGCACACCACCGTTTCTCTGGAGCATTATCACCAAGGGCAAGCCAGAAGGTCAGGGGGAGCAAGCATGGCCCATGGAGATGCTACCACTCGAAGCAAGGAGCCTGTGGTTGAGCAGCAACAAAACCAGACCACGTTCTG